GTTTGCTGTGTAGCTCATGCTGGGTGGCCCTGGGCAAGGCACTGGCACAGGCTGACTTTGCACCTCCCGGGAGGCCCCAAAGACAGTGCACCTGGTGGTCAGACTCGATCATACTGGATTACAACCCTACCACATCCAAGAGTGACACACTCAAAGGGAGCACTTGGTGAACACCAAAGCTCCACTGAAGTAAATCCTGCTCCACAGGGGTGTCTCCAGCACAGCAGCTCTTTGGCTGTCGTTGCAGCTGGTCCTCAGAGCCAATTGGCCTGGGGGTCAATTCCTGCCAGTGACACTGACAGCAACCAAGGCTCAACTACAATAGGTCAGANAGTCAGTCAGTCAGTCACTCAGTCAGTCACCTGTCTCTTATACACATCTAGATGTGTATAAGAGACAGGCCCTACAGGACACCTACTACACAAAGCCACTCTACAAATTCCAGGAGACATAGCAGCTCTACCTAATACATAGAAACAAACACCTGGAAGCAGCCAAAATGTGGAGGCAAAGAAACATGTCACAAAGGAAAGAACAGAAGAAATCTCTAGAAGAGGAATTAAATGAAATAGAATCAAGCAAGCTAACAGATACAGAGTTCAGAACTTTGTTTATAAGGATGCTCAATCATATTAGTAAGAGTATTACAAAAACAACTGAGACCATCGATGACCTAATAAAGCCTATCAGAAAGGAAGGCTACATAAACTAAAATGAAGAATAATTTACAGGGAATCAACAGTAGAGTAGAGGACGCTGAGAATCAAATCAGCAATTTGGAACATGAGGAAACAAAAAACACTCAACCAGAAGAGCAAAAAGAAAAAAGAATCAAGAAATATGAAGATAGTATAAGGAGCCTCTCAGACAACTTAAAGCATCCCAGCATTCGTATTATTGGGGTCCCAGAATGAAAAGAAAGAGAGCAAGAAACTGAAAACCTATTTGAAAAAATAATTACAGAAAACTTCCCCTACCTAGGGAAAGAAATAGACTTACAAGTCTAGGAAGCACAGAGGGTCCCAAACAAGAGGAACCCAAAGAGGCCCACAGCAAGACACATCATAATTAAATGCCAAAGGTTAAAGACAAAGAGAGAATCTTAAAAGCAGCAGGAGAAAAGCAGTTAGTTACCTACAACAGAGCACCCATATTACTCACAGCTGATTTCTCAACAGAAACGGCAGGCTAGAAAGGAGTGGCAAGAAATATTTAAAGTGATGAAAAACAAGAAACTACAACCAAGATTGCTCTACCCAGCAAAGTTATCATTTAGAATTAAAGGTCAGATAAAGAGCTTCACAGATAAGAAAAAGCTGAAGGAGTTCATCACCGCCAGACCAGCACTACAGGAAATGTTGAAGGGTCTTCTTTAAGAAGAAGCTAATGAACAAAAGAATCTGACAAACTAAATAGATCCAGAGACATTGACGCATGCAACAGACAATCATATTTCAGAGGAAAGAGGGAAGGGGTGTGGAGGGTGGGAAGAAATTAACCAAAGAAGTTATATGCATATATGCATAAGCCATGGACACAGTGAATAACGAGGTGAAGGCCTGAGGAGGGGGTGGGAGCGAGGTGAAGGGGGTGAATTGGGGGGAAAAAAATGGGACACTTATAATANATAAGCCATGGACACAGTGAATAACGAGGTGAAGGCCTGAGGAGGGGGTGGGAGCGAGGTGAAGGGGGTGAATTGGGGGGAAAAAAATGGGACACTTGTAATACTTTCAACAATAAAGATAAATTAAAATAAAAAATAAAAATAAAAATAAAAATAAATAAATAAATAATAAAAATAACAGAATTGGTAATATTAAGTAATATCACAGTCTCCATTAATTTTTCTCTTTTCAAAAGCACAGTGTAATATTTTCTATTTTGTGTCTGCAAGACAAACTATTATTGTGCTTCACCAGATAGAAAAACTGGTAGTTTCCTCAGCTACCTGCATCCTTTCCTTTCCTTTCTTATCTCTGTTCAAAATTACACCCATTCTCAGGACTCTATTCCTTTTCATCTCTTTTGGGACTCCAAAGTTCCCCCTTCCACTCTCTTTATATCCCCTAGTCTCTTCACTTTGCTTATTATATGTATCCTAAACTTCCGACTTAATGCTATGTATCCCACAGTTACTACCTACTTCTTCAAAGGATGGAACACACCAATGTTTCCTAAATTCTGTTCTAAGTAACCCCAGTCCTGAAAAATGCTAAAACAATAGCAAAAAAGTTCCTAGATCAAATAAGTTTGAGAAACCCTGTTTAAGAGATTCTTGATGTACACTAGCATATAAAAGACTCTAAAAAATGTTGTGGGACTAATGTCCCAAGAAAAATATTTTTAGGACAAAAAGGTCTACACTGCACCAGAGCAATAACAATGCTAACAATCTATCACCACGGATTGGTCCAGGACAACCCAGGACCTCCATGCTACCACATCCAATACTCATTTTTCAGTCTGATCTTACTTGATCTCTGTTAAATATTCTCTGCCAGAACTAAGTTCTCCTTTGGCTTTCTCCTGGTTTTACTTTTACTTTACTCGCCTCTAATCCTCACTTTTGCTGGGTGATTACATCAACTCCTATGGCTCCCACTGTCTGTGTCCAAACCCACTCTTGGTCAAGACCCATATATCTGATCTCTTCCTGGGCATTATCACCCACAGAAACATTGGACACAGTAAGTCCAGGGCTAGACTGACCATAATCCCCACTTTTCACCTGTTCAGTTCAGTCCAACGCAGAGATCTAAGAAACATATTGGATTCCATTCATTCCTACAGTCAGTCACTGTGTCCTGTAAATTCTAACTCCTAAATTTCTCTCTAATTCCTACCCTCCTCTCCATTTTCACCGTTTTAACGGCTATAATTTTTGCAATGTATTTACATATTCTAATACAGGCATTTATTATGTTTACTATGGACCCTTCTGTGCTTAGATCTTTATATATTTATGATAATCTACAAGCATGATAATCGACTTGTTTGATAATCAACTGTCCTAGAATTCCCGTTTTACTAAGTGTTTTCTTTTCATTAATAAACATTATATTTTAGAAATTTAGGCTTAGAGAAAACTGAGCAGAAAGTATAGAACATTCACATATACTGCCCCCCCGCACTTACCCGCCACTGTTTCCCCTATTAAAACATCTTGCATTAGTGTGGTACATTTGTTATAACTGATGAACCAATACTGATCATTTATTAGTAACTGAAGTCCATAGTGTGAATTAGAGATTACTCTATACTGTACAGTTCTATGGATACTAAAAAATGCACAATGTTACATATTCACTATAAATATCATATAGAATAGCTTCCCTGCTCTAAAAATCCACTTAGCTCTACCTCTTCATCCCTCCCTCACTCATCCCCTGAATCCTGGCAACCACTGATTCTTTTAATAATCAATGATGAGAGAGTCGTCAGTTATCGGCTGCCTCCTGCATGCCTCTGACTGGGCATCGAGCCCGCAACCCCGGCATGTGCCCTGACCAGGAACTGAACCAAGATCTCCTAGATCACAAGTCAATGCTCAACCACTGAGCCACATTGGCCAGGCTGTGGTCTATTTTGAATTAATTTTTGTGAAAAGTGTAAGATCTGTGTCTAGATTCATTTTTTTATTTTTTTCTCTCTAAGAATCTACCATATTATTGTATAGTAATTACACAAATAATATTTGTGATGGAGTAAATTAATAAATACCTTCATTCTATTTTGTACGAGAGTGAAGACATTCTGATGAACAAGGAAAGCAAAGAATGCCAGTGTAATTATGACACATATGGCAACAAAAGGGAACTCAGGAAGGAAATACCTTGAAGACCTTCTGATTCTTTTTGCCCCTTTTGAAGCATAAAGATTTCCATCTGCAAGGGAAAGTTTTCTGGAAACAGTAGCTTAGGAAAATACACAACATGTAGCTGTTATAATTACCATGTTTACACTGAGTTCTGGTTAGTTTGTCTGAAACAATCCTGGTAAAAATAAACTTTCAATGTGTTTTATACAACCAGTGCTTCCAATAAGCACTGCCTACATGACCTTTAGTGGTCTCCAGAACTTCTCCTTTACTTCTCCTTAACTGGCTGCTCAACCTCTATGGCTTCCTGCCTGCCTTTAATTTTCCCTCAGCAATTTTAATGCTAAAGCAACAACAAATTACACAAGCCATCCTCTGGGAGGATATCTGACCATAATCCGAAAAGCCCTTCAAATAAGGAAATTGAGATAGGTTAGGGGAAGAGTAGCAGAACATACTACACAGTCCCCATATGATACCCAAGCATAAATGATCCTCATGCTCTAATTCTCTAATTTCTTATTCTCTGATGAACACTTAACTATAGTCCCTCCCACGTTTTCTTTCCTAGAGAAATGTTGGCTTCCACAGTAAATCAAGTGAAAATATTCTTGATACAATTATTACCCGTGCTCCATAATAATGCTAATATTTAAGAGTAATTATAATTCTGCCCGGCCAGGCATAGCTCAGCGGTTGAGCGTCAACCTAGGATCCAGGCGATCGGGGTTCGATTCCCGGTCAGGGCACATGCCCGGGTTGCGGGCTCGATCGATGGCTCTCTCATCATTGATGTTTCTATCTCTGTCTCTCCCTCTCCTTTCCTCTCTCTGAAATCAATAAAGATATATTTTTTTAAAAAAAGAAAAGAGTAATTATAATTCTTATTAAACTGCCTAAGGTCATTCATCCTAAAGTTCTTAAAGGTCTTATATTTTCATACTCATTCTTGGGGCCTCTTTACTAAGTAAGTCCTTTCCTCACTAACAGAATATCAATATTAACATTATAAAAAATTACTGAAAAGTTTTAAGTAATGACACACACATAATATGATGAATAATAAACTTTTTTTAAAGCAATTTTATAGGTAGCACGAAACAACCCAAGCTCACACCTTGGATGTATAACCCACCTACCAGCCCACCTAAAGAATATTTTGTGGCTGACCACCCCATTTTTTTTCCTTTATTTATTTCAGCTTAATTGAGGTACCTCTGAAAATAAAATTATAAGTTCTTTAAAATGTACACTGTGATGATCTGATATACATATNAGGTACCTCTGAAAATAAAATTATAAGTTCTTTAAAATGTACACTGTGATGATCTGATATTATGAAAGAATTCCTTCACCTAGTTATTTAATACATGCATCACCTCACACAGTTTTGCTTAGTGTGACCAGCTTCTAATTCTATCACCCCTCAGTCCCTGGCAACATCTTTTTTACTCTCTGTGTCTATGCGTTTGACATTTCTTTAAAAAGATTCCATATATAACTGATACCATGCAGTATCTGTCATTCTCTGTCTGGCTTATTTTACTTAGCATAATGCCCTCAAGGTTCCCCTATGTTGTCCCAATGGCAGGTTTTCTTTATTTTTCATGGCTAAATAATATTCCTTTGTATACATACACCACATTTCCTTTATCCACTCATCTGTTGATGGACACTTCGGTTGTTTCCATATCTTGGCTATTGCAAATAATATTGCCATGAACATGGAAGGACAGATATCTCTCCAAGATAATGTTTCCAATTCCTTTGAATATATACCCAGAAGTGAGATTGTGGGATCATATGATAGTTCTATCTTTAATTTCTTGAGGAATATCCATAGTTTTCCATAGTAGCTGTACCAGTTAACATCCCCACCAACAGTGTGCAAGAGTTTTCTTCTCCACATGCTTGAGCGCATTTGTTAACTCTTTCATTTTGATGATAGCCATTCAAACAAGTGTGAGGTCATATCTCTTTGTGGTTTTCATTTGCATTTCCTTGATGATTAGTGATGTTGAACATCTTTTTCATTAACCTGTTGGCCATTTGTGTGTTCTTTAGAAAAATGTTTACTCAGTTCCTCTGCCCATTTTAATCGGATTGTTTAAATTTTTTTGCTATTGAGTTGTAGGAATTCTTTATATATTTTGTATATGATCCCTTTTTCAGATATATGATTTGTCAATATTCTCTCCCTTTCCATCAGTTGCTTTTTCATATTATTGATGGTTTCCTTTACTGTGCAAAAGCTTTCTGGCTTGATGAAGTCTCACTTGTTTATTTTTGTTTTTGTTGCTTTGCCTTTGCTTTTGGTGTAAAATGCAAAAATTACTGCTAAAGCCAATGCCAAGGAGCTTACCCGCTATATTTTCTTCTCCAAGTTTCATAGTTTCAGTCTTACTTTCAAGTCTCTAATCCATTTTGAGTTGATTTCTGTGTATGGTATAAGATACGGGTCTAGTTCCATCATTTTGCATGTGGCTGTCCCATTTTGCCAACACCATTTATTGAACAGACTATCCTTTCCACACTATGTAGACTTGGCTCCTTTGATATAAGTTAATTGACCTTATATGTGTGGGTTTATTTCTGGGCTCTCAATTCTGTTCCACTGACTTATGTGTCTATTTTTATGCCAATACTATACTGTTTTAACTATTATAGCTTTGTAATATAACTTGAAATCAGGAAGCATGATACCTCCTGCTATGTTTTTTTCTCAAGATTTCTTTGGCAATTCAGATTTTTTCTCATATTTTTTCTTATAACAGAAAAAGAGAAGATCATTCCAACAATTTTTAGCTCTCATAAAACATAATAAGCAACATGAATCAAATTTGATTTCTTCTCTTAAATCTACTCTCAAGGCAAGGTAACAATAAATAGGGGAAAAGGGGAAAAGGATAGGAAAAAGTAGACACCAGTGGACATAAAATCATGATTTCAAATTTACAACTTTAGATCTAATAAACATCAACTTCTGGATTTCAAAAGAGTGACATAGACTTGTTTCCAAACTAAAATAACCAAATAATAACAACAAAAACCCAAAGTATTCATGTTGGCCTTTATGTCAGACTTGACCATTTTAGTGTTTAAGATGTAGCACTGTGCCCAGCCAGGCGTGGCTCAGCGGTTGAGCATTGACCTAGGACCCAGGCGATCACAGTTTGATTCCCAGTCAGGGCACATGCCGGGGTTATGAGCTCGATCCCCAGTTGGGAACACGAAGGAGGCAGCAGATCAATGAGGACTCTCTTATCACTGATGTTTCTCTCTGCCCCCCCTCTCTGAGATCAATAAAGATGTATTTAAACAAACAAACAAACAAACAAACCGATGTTGCACTGTTAATTTTTCTGCTTAATACTTATTTAAAGTTCCCATGGCAAAATAAAGGAGTTTCTCAAGGCTCTTTGAAACTAAGGTATTTACTCTCCAAAAACTCATCTACCATCAAGCCTTCTTTTGTTCTACAAGGGTATCATTTTTCCCATTTGATTAAACCTGGCTCAAAACTAGTGCTGTGGCCTTGTGAAATAACTATAAAATCACTAATTTTATAGCAATAACAAGGGGCAAAAATACACCACTTAAAAGTAAGGTAAAAAAAAATTGGGCATAGGATACAGAAGAGAGAGACCAACTAATTTAAAAGTTTCAATTGATGTTGATTTCAACTATAACCACTATTATGTAGATAATACGTAAGAATTCTTGACTGTGATGGGGGCCAACTAAGGAAACAGCCACTTTCATGCGGAAAAAATAAGGACGATTTAGTGGACACCGTTGTCAACTTTTTTTAGTATAAACATCCCAAAATGAGCATTGGTATTTGTTTTTCTAAGGAATTCATTAGCACCTATTCTCAAGAGCATGCTATGAATCATACTGCTATTCGACCTGGGAAACGAAGCCATGTCAGGTAGACCAGCCCACACTAGGCACGCCAAGCGCAGCTCTATAGCACTGTGGGGCTCTCACCTTAAAAGTTGTGGTGCCGTAGAGCTTGCTGGTATGGACTGTCTCTGGAAGCACGTTAGTGATATTGGTGATGAATTCTTCCAAGTACTTACAGGACTTCTCCAAGTGTGTTGTATTGATGATAATCTGGACAAGCTGGAAAATAACAAGCACATGTAAGAGTCATCTGACCTTGACCCCAGGATGAACGGCTCAGTACCAATCTGCTGGTATAAGACAGACAAACGACACGACGGCAGAGGCCACCTGTATTCTACGAGGGGCACTTTAAAGCATGGGCACCACTTCATCTCTGAAGCCTTCTCTGACTACCCAGAGCATCTTGTATTTCCCCTACTATATATAGGAGTTCTTGTCACTCTACTTCAACACGTTTTCTTCTGTTTAAAAAAGACTAGACTAAGAATAATACTGTTTAGCATAATGCCTAGCCTTAAATAACTGCCAAATAATTTAAATAAATAAACCCCCACTGAAACAACAAAAATAACTGAAATGGCAAGAAAAAGTTTCCAAATTAGGCGTGATGAACAGAGAGATGCTGGACAAGACTGTAGTACATTAACTACGTTAGTCTGTGGTAGATAAAACATGGGCGCTGAAGTCAGAGAAACCAGGGCACAAACAATTTATAAATTACTGATCTTGAGAGCATTTCCTAACTTCTCTAAGCCTGATTCTTTACCCGTAAAACATTAGTAACTTCTAACTCACAGAGTTACTGCAAAAGCCAAATATTCTTTAGTTAATACTATTTCCCTTTACTTACAGAAAAGATCCTTAAAGAAGTTAGTACTGGTAAGATAAATGCCACCTGCTAATTACTTTGAAGGGAGACTGAGGAAGAATAACTATTATTATCTACGTAGAATTAAAGTTTGTAAAGCACTTCGCAATTCATTTTCTTGCACTGTCTCCCTGGCAAGCTGCAGAAGTAAATTAAGTGAGTAGCTATTACTTCATTTTACTATAACAAAAGCAAAATTAAAATGATTTCTCTAGGTCACATAACTAGATGGAACTAGGACTCCAGTCCAATCATGAACTCCTCTACATGACTTCTGCCAGTGCCTCTGAGCAGAGCACAGGGGGCAGCCCCGGCCCTGGCGCTGTGTTCAGTACAGTGGGCTGAAGCAGACTCTGGGTCTTCCATCATCTAGAACCCTCCATGCCTTAATTCTACTCTATGTAAAAAATTAAATAAAAAGGAGTACTACCTCCTTATTTCAACTATGAAAACTATTCATATTCCCCAGATATACAAAAGAAATACAAAAAGGAAAGAGAACGAAAACTTTTTTTGGTCTCTCTCTTCTACATCTTTAACTTTTCATTTTCATGACTGTTCTCTGGCGGTGGGAATGTGGAAGGTCGGGGGAGTACAGGCGTACAGGGCAATGGATGAACTTCAGTGCTTCTTTTAGTGTAGTGAGACAGTGAGCTGGGGGAGAGTGGGTAGACGACACAAAGGGGAGATTGGAACTAAAGATGAAGACAGGTATTACACATTTTTACAGTCAAATGATATTTCTGTGAAATAGTAAACAAAAAGATGAATGGACTATCATCAGAAAGTACATTCTTACCTCCTCAACAGCATACAACACACAGTTCTTTCTCAAAAAAATAGATGTCAACTCATAATGACAATGCTTTAGTAATAGACTGGACTAAGGGAAAAGATACCTTCTACTCCCCTAAAGATCAGCTGGAAGAGCTGAGAAAAACAGCTACTTTTTAACATGATGACAAAGAGCAAAGACCCAGAGATGCAGTTCCAGCAAAGATGAAAAGTTAGGGCAACATTAGGACTAGATCTCTGTCATATTCCCCATAACTCATCAGAGCGTATGCATCACGAGACCCTTTCCACTCACTCTACAGTTTGAATTTGGAGACTTTGAGTTTTGGACACTGACACTATCACCTACAAAATTACCCAAAACGCCCGCCTCTTAGCCTGAGAGTGCTCTTAAAAAATAAGCAATGTGTCACCCTCTTTCTTTCCACATGTTTCTCCCTCAGAGGAAGACTAAAATCATTTTTAAAATCTTTAATTGTCTAAATTAAATTAACTCTTCTTCCTGAGTGGGAAGGTGGCTATTGGCAAGGCTGTCTTGATGCAGAAGTCAGAAAAGTAAGAGAGTTAATTTGGAGAACTAAAGAATTTCTATTTTAAAATCAGCATTACCTATCAGGAACACATTCTATCTATCAAAAAAATCCTAATAATAAGGAGAGATCGTGTCATGTTATCGAAATAAAAAGCAGAGGCAGTCAAAGAGAAAATTGTCCTGTTTTGCAGGATATTGGCAGTTTAAAAAAAAAGGGGGAGGCGGCTTCACTGGGTACAGTAGTAATTTCCCATGACTTTTTAAAGATCTGTCAACACAAAAGATCACCATGAATTACATCAATTGGCTGTCAGTCACTTCTGAAATGTTTCATTGCTGAGCATAGAATAGACTATTAAAACACTCTAGGATTACAGTAGATACCATGTCATTTTCAAAGGGAATATTGTCTGTTAATGAGGTCTAAGTGTCTCTTCTCCTGAATGACAGCTAACCAAAATCCTTACAAGGGCATTTACAAATGTGAAGCCAGATGCTTTGGGGGTAATTTTGAATGTAAGGATGAAACGAAGCAATTTCAGATATCAACTTCCATCAGAGTTAGAGCGCCTTTGATATTTTTAACCCCTACTTCCCACTCTATTACAAAAATATATCACTGAAGCAATCTAAACTGTCCTTAACATTGTTCCAAGGACATGGAACTAACAACAGATTAGATAGATATTGGTTAGGTCTTATATAAAGTTCTATGAGAAGTGTTCAAAAAACAAAGAAACACTAGCAAACAATCACCTCTCACAGCTAAATGACCAAAGTTGCTTTGGTTAAAAATCATTAAGCAGAACATCTTTCTGTCTCTCCCAGTATCACAGAGAATCTGATCAGAAAGAGCACAGAGTAGACTGTGGGAGTCACTTCTCCAACCCTGATGAAACACCCCAGCAGAGCCTGAACCATGATGACCGATAGATGTTCATATGTTTGACAAACTTCAGAAAAGAAAATGCCTTCATCATCTTCAATAATTCAAAACTAAGCCCTAAATTCCAAGAACAAATTTCTAGCCTCAACTATAAACTACTTCTGGGGTATTTATATCCACTTATATTATAATTGATATTATTTTATTTCCCAAAGCAGAGAATTGAATTTAGTGCACTGAATCTCTCCAAAAGGACTAACCCAAAGCTAGTAAATGAGAGTCATACTCTTTCCCACACCACCAGTGCTTCTCAACTGTTATATTTGCCAGAAGATAAAGAACGAAACAGCGGCCTTGATTCTCACTCTCGAAAACATGATCCCTAAGACTTCAAGGAATTTTTATCTCCATTTCACCCCTGCAAGGGTACAAAAAGGAATGTTAACTGCTGATTTTATACCATCTCCAAGGAAAATATCTAAAATACTTGGAACTATTGGTTTAAAATTCAAAGGTCTAGTACAAAGCTTATATTTGACAAAATTTAAGTACAAAATGTTCGAACATAACATTAGATATATCATTGCTGTTTAACGGAGTGGAGACAAATGGTGTGTGGGAGATAAATAACAGAGGCTAGAGCCATGTGATCATCAACCTAAATTATATTAAAAGCAAAGGGTGAATGAATGCAAAGCACTGGTCATTTATTCAGGTCTCCTGGGACACTATTATAATCATAAAAATATAAATATTCAATATTCACCAATAGAAACTGAATTTCTCTAATTTTACTCTAAGAACCTACCTACCTACTTTCTTTTTTTTTCTTTCTTTCTCCTCTCTTTCATCAGTTAAGAACTCCTATGTGCTAAGGAATTGGGATACTGCTGTACAAAATTATACACAAACAGACAAAGTCCCTGACCTCATAGGCATTACAGTAAACAAATACACATACAAACATGTAGTATAATGTCAGGCAGCAATAAGCACTGAGAATAGAAGTGAGAATGAGGGCTTATATGGTAATGGCAGGTCTGAGCTCTTTTGAGGTAGGGTGGTTAAGGAAATGATATTTGAATAGAGACTTAAAATGAAGGTAAAATATGTCTATGATCTGTAATAAATAAGTTATTTTAAATCCAATTTATATCTTAAACCTTTCTATCAACATATTATTCACAAATAAGTAGGGCGTCCTTTGATTCATCTTAAAACTTTCTTCCAAACTTAACTAATTCTCTGGTATTCTGCGATTAATAAACTAGTGGTTTATTTCCTTTCTCTCTATATTGGTGGTTTTAAATTAGTGTAGCAAAAGAGCAAAAGTCCAGAAAAAATATTACTTTCAAACTCACTTCAAATCTTATTTTTAAAAGAAAATATATGTCAAAACTCACCTCAAATCTTATTTCCAAACTACTTACTGGCTGCCTAGCCTTAGGCAAAGTTATCATCTTTCCTCATCTTAAAATTGAGGTCATAACATCAATGTGATACCAAAGCAATAATAAATACATTATAATTAAATATAAATACCAATATAAATAATAAAGTATTGAGTATAATATATACCAAATTCCTGAAGGCTATTATTGATATGGGCTTATTCATTGCATCTCCAGCTAAATAGGCCCTAAGAAAATGTACAGCCATGCTGGCCAGTCTCACTTTCATTGAGATCCGCTAGCCAAAGTGGGCACTTATTGCTGCAAAATGATCACATAATCAAGAACAAGTCAATTTTTTCCATAGGCCCAAATATTTCTTTTCTCTCCTTCAACCCCAACATTTGCTCTCAAGCTCTACTTTCAGCTGAAGATCTTTCTTTCACTGAGAAAACTGAGCATTTGGAGCCTACCACCAAAATATATACCCAACCACCACCATCTGCATCCACATACTCGGATGCTCATCTGTTACAAGCGGTGAACTTCACACCCCCTAAAGCCAATCCCTTTCATTGTGCACTAGATTCTAAGCTCTCTTTCCTACCCACATTACTCCAGAGACTTGCCCCTTTCTCCTACATCAACTTTTGCTTTCTATTGTACATTCTCACCAGAAATAACACGCTATTACTTCTAATTTTAAAAAAAAGAAAAACACAAAAACTTTTGCTTAACCCACATCCCCTACTGGCTACCATCTCATTTCCTTGCTTACCTTTGTAACAAAATTCCCCAAAAGAATCGTTTTTTATTTGCTATCTCCAATTCCTCTCTTTTACTCTTTAATATTATTAATTGAAATAAATGCTTCATTTTAGGCTAGTTTTAGGTTTACAAAATAGTTTCAAAGAGTTCCCAAATACTCCACACCCAGTTCCCCCATTGTTAACATCTTACATTACTACGGTACATTTGCCACAACTAAGGAACCAACATTGGTACTTTACTATTAACTGAACAGCACACTTTATTCCAATTTCATTTGATTTTCCTGAATGTTTTTACCTTTTTCAGGATTCCATCTAAGATTCCACATTACATTTAGTTGAAATGTCTCCTTAGCTCCTCTGGTCTGTGACAGTTTCTCAGACTTTCCTTGTTTTTGATGACCCTGACAGTTTTGAGTCGGGTATTTTGTAGAATGCCCTTCAATTTGGGTTTGTTTAACGTTTTTCTCATGGTTAGACTGAGGCCATGGGTTTTAGAAGGAGGACCACAGAGATGAACTGCCTTCTCATCACATCGTATCAAAGTTACACGCTAGCAACACAACTTATCACTGATGACGGTAACCTTGATTACCTGAGTGAGGTAGTCTGTCATGTTTCTTTACTGCAAAGTAACTTGTTCCTTCATTCCATAGTCTACTGTAGGAAGCAAGTAACTAAACACAGCCTTCACACAAGGGATGGGAAGCTAAGCTCCACCTCCTTGAGGGGGTAAAATCTACATAAATTATTTGAAATTCTTCTTCTATATAGGACCCATTCTCTTCTAAACCTTCTCTGGCAGGAGTTTCCTACCATCATTCTATTAAAAATGCTTTTATCTAGGTCACCAACTTATTCTAAGTTGGTTAGTCCAATGGTAACTCTTAGTTGTCATCTCACCTGATGTACCAGTAGTATTTGTCATAGCTGACCCCTCTCTCCTTTCTTTATATACTTTCTTCACGCAGCATCCAGGACACCATACTCTCCTGTTCCTGTTTCACGTGTGCTTGTTGTTTCCAAGTGGTACCTTCCCAGTCTCCTTCACGGGCTCCTCTTTTCTCCTGAGTTCTTACTAGTGGAGTGCCCAAGGGTTCAGTCCTTCACCCTCGTCTCCATCTTTACATACTCCCTCAACAATATTATCTAGTCACATGGTAAATGTTATTTTTATGCTCCCAATTTTTGTCTCCAGGCCAAACCTTCTTCTCAAACTCCAAAGTCATATATATAACTGCTTACTCAATATCTCATGCTATATGTCAATAAATACTACAAATTTAATATGCCCAAAACCAAATTCCCAAGATTACCCCCACCCCAAATTTAGCTCTACGTGAAGTTTTGTCATCATAGTTCATGGTATATGCAGGCTTCTGGTTGTTCAAATCAAAACATCTTGAGAGTTATCTTCAACTCCTCCCTTCTCACTTCCTTTGCTCAATCATCAGGAAAGCATGATGACTCTAGGCTCCAAATCTGATCACTTGTCACCACCTCCATGGCTACAACCAAGCTTCCATCAAATCTTGCTCGATTGTTGTCAAAGCTTCCTAACTGGTCCCTCTGTTTATACCCTAGAATTTATTCTCAATACCACAGTCAATGCTGTCCTTTTGAAATATGTCAGATCATGTCACTAATCAAAATTCTACCATTTCACTCAAAATAAAAGCCAAACTCTTTACAATGGCCTACCATGAACTCCTGCTACCTTTCTAATCTAATCTCCTGCTTTGCTTCCCTTGCTTACTCCACTCCAGCTACCCTTCCCTATTATTCCCTGAACTTGCCAATAACTTAACTGCCTTCAGACCATTGCTCCAGTTCTAGCCTCTGCCAAGAATGCTCTTTCAAGGTATTGCTCTTTTTAATAAAACCACCCTTGAATCTCCACCATACCCCTGATTTCCTTAATCCAGATTCTTTCTCTTCCTCCATAGCACTCACCATCTTTTATCATACTGGATGAGTTATTTATTTATTTTATTATTTATTATCTGTTTTATGCCATCAGAATGTAAGCAAGGATCTCTTTTGTTGTTCTTCTTGGTTTTGTTCACTTATTTATCCTTAGGGCTTAGATCGGTGTGTATCTGATTATAATATAATAATAAATATTATATTGTTAATACACAAATTATTTATCTTAACAGGGCAACTTGTGCTAATCTGACTTCACTTAATTGAAAAACTACATCTCTATAGCAGACCGGACAATCATTACTTGCCCAGACCTCTTTCTTAATAACAGGCAATATGCATTATTTACTATGTACCAGGCAGTGTTCTAAGTACTTTACATGTTAATTTAATTCTGACAACAGTCCTATAAAATACATGCTATTATTGTCCCCATTTTTTATATACAACTAAGTAATTTGCCCAAGAACATATATGTCCAGGTTAGAGCTAGAATTGAAACTCAGTCTGCTTTAAAACATACACTCTTAAACACTGCTAAACTGCCCTTCCTCCCACAGACCTGGAAGAAGCAGCCCTAAGAAACAGTTGTACCTGCTGACTGAACTAGGGATAGTCACGTAAGGTCTGAGACAGCAAGACATTCAAGTTACAATGGGTGCCAGAACTGAGAGGTAATGTTGAGTTGGCTCCACATGGGGAAGCAAAGAACCCATGAAAAAAGCACGAACTACAGTGTATAGACAGGAAAAGATAAAAGGATAGAGCACATGGACAAAAAAAAGAAGAGATACAATACCATGTAGCCTCAAAAAGATAGGCAGACACTGCCTTATGGGAACTTTTAAGTCCTAAAGGAACTGTCTGACAATCTGAAATAGAATTCTGTTTTGAGTTTTCTGTACTTATAAATACTTCTATTGTTTCAACGGGAATCCTTCCACTGTCACAAAACCATCTCCAATAAGGACAATTTCTATGTTACTATGGACCTCTTGTAAAAATCTCTATCATGTTATGATGAAATAATTAAGTCAATATGAAAGGCAGTACATAGAGTAAAATTCAACAAGTTTGGGGAAAAACAACCTGGACTTAAGTCTCATTTCTATCATTTTACTGGCTGTATGACCTTGGGCAATCTCCTTGAACTTTAATTATATGTCTTCTATAAAAGTAGGAATAATAACACATGCCCACACTGCTTCAAATGCTATTGTGCTATATGAGATGGTATTTGTGAATGGAATCATGCCACAATGTTGCCTGTTATAATGATGATTCCAGATGTGAACTCACTTTAGTCAGCTATAAAGGAGAATATAACATCTCCTCTTTCCAAAGGTGGATAATATAATTATTCAAAGATTTAGTGGTTGGTGAGGAAAAAAATCACTGGGTGAATGTCCACACAAGTACATACCACCATCACCACCAAGATACCTGTGGGTACTCCTTCATTCACATGCAAAGACATTGATCATGAAAGCGTATCTGCCTAAAGAAATGCAGTGACTTATGAATAACATTTAGCATTCACTTAAATAGTGCCAAGAATTTTTACATACTTCGATAAGCTCACACTGCTTCTTCCTATCATTACATGATCTGTACAGTGCCCTTGAAAAGGACAATGGAATCAGGAAAACCAAAGAAGTAAGAATTTAGGTCTTTCTCTTAAGTTGTCACAGTAAATCAATTGCACAGCCACAACTAAACTCAAGAGTCTTCTGAAACCAAAGTTATTTCTCTCATACCATGTTCCTGCTATGCTACTAGCTTCAAATGACTTTTTAAGAGACTGCTAAATCAAATGGCATAAGAAGAATTATATCAAGAGTTATAATGTAGAGATAGTTCACAAAATAAGTAACCAACGTCTTGTCCTGCTTGGGATTCAGAAAAGGAGAACAGCACAACCTAACCAAGGCAGGCCTTTCTACTATTCACTCCAACATTCCTTTTCTGCAGCCTGCCGATTATAAGGTTAGCCTGTTATCAGACACACAAAAGCAATACTTAATTCTTTCTATAACAAACAATAAAAAGAAATCTCTGCAAAGTAAAAAACTGTCCTAAATAATGTCATATGTGACATTCAATTGTAAAAAAAAGTTTGTTATAAGTAGAATTCAGTCACTGCCAATATCCCACATTATAATATTTTGTATCTTAACACAGGGGGAAAAAATAATCATTTCAAAACAGAAGTAAATGTTTACCTGGCTTCCAGCTATTTTTACCTGTGGGTCAATAACATTAACTATTTACTGACTCTCACTATAATCTTTGCCAGTATATATGTAAAAATGTGCCTTTCAAAAACTGATAATGGATTTCTCCAAGGCAACCAAAGAAAAACACAAGACAGTTATTTTGCACTTCCACCATTAGAGGTCCATCTGGAAGAATACGATGAACTGTAGAGAAAGTTATGATAAATTCAAAAACAAACCCCAGGGCTTAGGATATCTGTTGCCATATTGCCTTGGCTGCCTCCATTAAGAGCAGCTTTACCTCAGTAAGTCCAATATTCTTCCTTTTAATGACATTCTGCAGAGAGTTGCTCAGAGTCCTGGTTAGCAACAGGTTTGTAGATTTTCTAATCATGTCATCAACTTCAGTTGAGCTGAAAAAGGAATGCCAAGAGTCAGTCATACAATGTAGCAGAATTATTCTGCAAACAAACAAGATGGTACTTTAATAATAATAATAATAAATAATGGCAACAGCAAATAACAGTTATTGTGTGCCAGAAATTATTCTAAGTACGTTAATGAATTAAAATTCATTTAACCTTCACAATAAACATATGAAGTAGTTTTATTATTATCTCTACAGATGAGAAAATGGAGGCACAGAGAAATTAAGTAACTTGCTCAAGGTCACACAGTGAGTATAGAGCAAAAAAAAAGGGATGTTCACAGGCGGTCTAGCTCTAAAGGCCTCACAGCATTTAAACACTTCTGGCTGCATTCTCTGAGTAAAGAGTTCACCCACATGATTCCTCAGTCTAAAACCATTATTTCTCCCATACTTGCAAGTTCCTTCACAGATTAATATTTGTAATTTTGCCATCTGGTCTCTCTGTAGACTTCTTTCACAATTAGCTGATAAAGGGTCCTGTAAAATGGATCTCTGCTCCTATATTATCAGCTTCCATATAATCTCTATTTTGCTCTGGTTCAAAAATAAGTATTTCAAGCTAGTAGTTTAATTCTGCATACATGTTTTAAAATCCCACTTACTATCCCCACAGTAATCAATGAAGACATTTTCTATTCAGTAAAAAAATACCAAAGCTATTTTTATATGCAAAATTTAAAAGGAAGAAGTCTTGCAAAGAACAGACTAAATTCGAGACCTATATATCCTTCAGGAGTCTCTGAAAACATTACCCAGGATGGATTTCTATAAGAGATATTCTTTTGAGACCTATAGTTCTTCAATAATAAGGTTACTGTTGTAATGATACTTGTTTATAGATATCAAGAACTAACTATAAATAAAGATGTGTGAAGAGTTCTTTGTCAATAATTTGTGGACAATGGTCACAAATTTTATGTCATTGATTTTTCTTTCTACAGAAGAAAATCAGAGGCTTAGTACAGTTGAATTAAAAGTCTTAAAATTCTAAATCATAATAGGCAAGCTACATTGTCATGCTAAATGGAAAAGAGAAAAATATTAGAAATAAATAAGACTATAAAATGCAAGGCCATAATCAGGTAGGAAAAGAAATACACAAAAATACTTCCACAGCCTGGCTGGCGTGGCTCAGCAGTTGAGCATCAACCTACGATCCAGGAGGTCACAGTTCAATTCCCGGTCAGGGCACATGCCTGGGTTGTGGGCTCGATCCCCAGCAGGGGGCGTGCAGGAGGCAGCTGATCAATGACTCTCATCATTGATGTATCTCTCTCTCTCTCTCCCTCTCCCTTCCTCTCTCTGAAATCAATAAAAATATTAATTTTTTTACAGGGTTCATGTAAGGATATATTTAATTAACCAATACTTTCTGGCCCACTGCCACCCTTTCCGAAATTATTACTGAATTGAAATACTTCATTCCATAAATATAAGGTGCTAGGCACTGTGTTAGTAGAATATTCAGCTCACAATGGTGAACAAAATGGTCATGGGGTTCAGCCTCCATATATTAAAGTCATAATTACATCATATCAATTATAATAGGAGCCATGAGTAATTAAATACAGGTTGCTATAATAATGATTAACACAGGTGCCCAAAATAATCTGGTGACCATGATATTAATCAATGTCATGGCATCATGTGCTTATTACATATCTCTATTATGCTTTAAGAAGAACTAGCCGAAGTTCCACTTTTAGATGGCGTAGAAGATCAAGAAAGACTATCACTACCTTCATAACAAGAAAGCTAGGTCCAAGCTAAAAGCTATATTTTCCTTAAATGTCAACGAAGTGTAATGTGCAAATGAACTAAACTGCACACTGGAACAAGCCCTTGAAAGGTGAGCAAAGAGCACGAGCCACTTTCACCTCTCAGGCCAATACCTAATCTGGGCACAGACAGAGGAGGGAGTAAAAGAGTCATAGGCTGAGAGACGGTGGTGGGATGGAGAGAAATCAGCCAAACCTTTAACAGTGTGGGCTAATATTACAGATTGGAATCTTGGAAGAGCCCCCAAACAAAAATAAACATACTGACCCAACAATTCTTTCCTATAAAAATTCTGTTACATAAGAAATGGTGGAGGCAGTGCTAGAAATCAGAGAGAAATCTTGCAAATTTTGCAAGGGATTTAGGTTCCAGGGTTATACAGAAATTCAATCCAAAGGAGAGCAAAAACTAACTAAAGCTGAAACCCAGCCCAGCTCAAATCCTGTTAAGATTACAGATAAGGCCCTGAATAGAAGCTTTGGAATTTCAGAGTTGGTCTTAAGAAGAAAAAGACTTCTGCAATGCCATTTAAAGGCAGAATTAATTGAAACTAATAACTGAGACTCACATTCAGTTCACTCAAGTAATGATGAGACCTGAATGATTTATCAGGCAGCTAGGAGTCACAGAAGAAGGAAAAAAGGAGAAAGGGGACATACTTAAGGACACAGCAAAATCATCTCCAAACCTGATAAAAGATTTCAACCTACAGACCCAAGAAGTTCAGCGCACCCCGAACAGAATTCATGAAAATAAAACACCACATAGGAACATCAGAGTCAAACTGTAAATTGCAAAGATAGAGAGAAAATCTTAAAGGCAACCAGAGAAAAAAGACAATACATTCAGAGAAACAACAACAGGAGTGATGACTTGTTTCTCTTCAGCAACAACAGAAGCAGACAGGGAATGACATCTCTAAAGTATAGGGAAAGGAGGACTGTCAACCTAGACTTCTATATCTTCAAAAATATGTTTTTTGAAAACAAAGGTGAAGAAAAATGTTTAGACAAACAAAAGCTAAGAAAATATAATACCAGCACTAAAAGAAATGCTAAAATAAATTCTTCACACTGAGGGAAAATAATACCAAAGGTAACCTAAACCTGTAGGAAAGAATGAGACAGCCTGGAAATGGCAAATATGTGGGTAAGTATAAAGAACTACATTTTCCTTTCATTTTAAAATACTGTTAAATTTTCAAAGCACACACAATAACATATTTTAGGGTTTAAAAACAGGTGTGTAAGTGAAGTATATGCCAACAATAGCAATAAAGGGAAAAGATAAATTATATTATAATGTTATAAGATTCTTAAGTTATATATGAAGTGACATATTATTCAAGGTAAATTGTAGTAAGTTAAGGATGCACACTGTAATCCCCAGAGAAATCACACAAATAAACAAATAAATAAAACAAAATGTTATACTCAAGTAAGCCAATAGGGAAAATAATTCATAATACCAAAAACACTTAACCAAGAAGAAGGACAGAAATTAGGAAAAGGGGGTAAAAAATTAATGGGACAAATAGAAAACAACAGTAAGACAGCAGGCTTAAATCTAAGCGTATCACTAAATATACTAGTTAAATGACATAAACACACCAATTAGGTAGACTAGATAAAAAAAACAATATCTAACTATCGGTGATTGAAAATGACAAGTTTTAACATAAAGAAACATGCCCAGATCTTATTTTCAAGATACAACTCAGCACTAAAAGGAACTGGGCTCCTTGGAGAAATTAGTGAGATCATGGATAAGAGGGGAAACGCCCAAGCCCGATGGGAATCATCACCGAGGCACAGGGGCCAGCGTGGAGCGGCTCACGCAGCTATATGCGTCTGGGACAATCTGAGCACCCAAATGAAAAAAGACAGCAAAGAAATGAACCAACTAAATGAAGTAAGAATCCATGATGCCCAGCCGGGCGTGGCTCAGCGGTTAAGCATCGACCTAGGATCCAGGCGATCAGGGTTCGATTCCCGGTCAGGGCACATGCCCGGGTTGCGGGCTGCAGCCGATCAATGACTCTCTCATCATTGATGTTTCTCTCTCTTTCCTTCTCCTTTCCTCTCTCTGAAATCAATAAAGATATATTTAAAAAAAAAAAAGGAATCCATGAATCTGATCTAATGATAGGTAGATGACTGATGGATAACTGATACATAGATAGATGATGATAGATAGACAGACAGACAGATAGAGAGCAGAGGGAGAAGGACTCCTTAATAAGGAATGCTAATACATGTACAAGGAATTTAAAAATCACAAATTAGTAATTATTAGAGAAAAAATTATTCAGACAAGAATCATTAATGGCACTATGAGGAGGAGAGAGGTAGAGAACATGCGGTAACAGAATAAACATACAATCTCAAAGTATTTCAACACGAACTTATGACAAAAGAATGATGATAACTATACAGAGAAAACAGAAATCTTAATAATTAGTGAAAATTAACATCAACCGTAAAAGTTTATAATACTATATCACACTCACACACACACACAGTGAGGAAGAGAGGGAGGGAGGTATTAAGTCAATCATGGTAAAATGTCAAATATTGGTAAATTTGGGTTAAAGGTATTCAGTTCATCACAACACTCTCAAAACTTTTCCTTAATGTTAAAATAATTTGAAAATGTGTTAAAAGAAAAAAGAAAACGCTGTAAGTAATAGAAGAGACAAATGCATACCGCAGAAAAGAAGTTACAGCTATATTAATAATGGGTAAAGTAGACATTAAAATTATTCTTGTTTTTAACACAGATAACAAAGGACATTTCAAAAACTTAAAAGGATAAATACTAGATATAACAATATTAACTAAGTATGAACTTGAAAACATATTCAATATATATGAAGCAAAGCTTGAGAGATTTAAAAGGAGAAAAATACAAATCTAAAATCACAGGATACTTTTTAGAAATATATATGTTTTTATTGATTTTAGAGAGAGAGGGGAGAGGTAGAGATAGAAACATCGATGAGAGAAACATCGATCAGCTGCCTCCTGAATGCCCCCTACTGGAGATCAAACCCATGATCTCTTGGTTCATGGGCCGATGCTCAACCACTGAGCCACACTAGCAGGGTCCCCTGAATGCTTTTTAAGCATTCTCTGTACCTTTAATTTTCATCAATTTGTATATTATGTGTTTAAGTATTTTTCTGTGCTTGCTATTGCTGCTATT